GGGCTCCATCCAGGGGCCGTTTTCAGCCGGGGAACCCGTGCCAGGGTTTGGGAAGGAGATGCCAGGGCGAGGGGGCCCCGATCCTGCCTCCCGCAGCCCCGCAGGCGCTGGGAGAGACTTCCGCGTCGCCCCTTCGGACTGCTCCGCCGGCCCCGCCGAGTAAGTGCCTTGGTCGCCACCGCGGGAAGGCAGAGAGCGAAGGGAAGGGAAGGGAAGGGGCTTCATCCGCACCCCCCTTCTGTGGGGGCAATGAGCCAGCCTAGAAGCGGACCGGGCCGAGAACTGTCCCTTCAGCACCACCGCGGGGAATTGACTCCCGCCTTCCTGAGGCACGATGGCTGATTGATTTCTTTCCCTTGCCATGTTTTTTAAATCTAAACTGCGTCCTGCCATCATCATTGTCCTTGTCACCACCAGCACCACCATCATCCCCATCGCCATCATCCTTCTTCTTCCTCCTCATCTTCCTCGTTGTCCTCCTCCTCCTCCTGGTACAGAATCTAAGCGGTATTTGACCGACGATCTCATATTAGTTGAACCTCCCTTCTTCCTCCAAGGAGTTCAGAGGAATATCCATGTTTTGTTTTCTCCTCCCTCTTTTTGATCTGCACAACAGCCCCACCAGGTGGGCTAGCTTGTGAAACTGGGATAAATCTGAACCTGCGTTTCTCCAGCTGGTCTTTCAACATCCCTCATCTCAATCTTCTTGGACCGAACAGTCCATGGCGCTTTCAACTACAGACTCCCTTATCCCCATTCTAGACAGATATTGCCTGTGCTGTCTGGGTTTATGGGAGTTGTAGTAGGACATCTCTGGAGCCTGGTTGGTGAGGAGAGGTCTACTCATTACACCATGCTGTTCACTTGACTGCCACTAAGGGTCGAGATTCAACTTTGCCCTCCTCCACCTACTCACCATTGCACCGCTATTGTTTTCCTAATGTACGACCATCTTCTATGGGTGTGTGTGTGTGTGTGTGTGTGTGTGAAAACAGATAAAAGTGTTTCTTTACAGCTCAATTTCCTGACCTGGATGTTGACCTTGTGGCAAAAGTACATTCTAGTTTGCGCCACCTTGAAAAAATGTTAGTTTTAAAGGCAGAACAGGGGTCTTTATCATTGAGAATTGCCTTCCTTGCAGCCTGATGTGAGAAATATAGTCTGAAATACACTTCACTGGGCATGGTGATATTTTCTCCAGTCTCTGCCAAACGTATCACCTAAATCTTCCTCGTTGCACCAGTTTCAACCAGCTTCTCTCAAGTATACTCTCTTACAGAACAGTGTGTTTTAGAAGAGGCAGACGTGTTAATCTTTGCTGGCACGCCAGGCGAAACCAAAACCAAAATAAAAAAAGAAAGAAGACATAAACATTGTGGCACCTTAAAGAATAACTACTATATTTAATGTGAGCTTGGGGGGGGGGGCAAGTCTGCTTCTTCAGAATTGGGTGTGTTACCGTTTTCACTGGAGCTTAAGACCAAATACTGTTAGCATTCAAAGGGTGGCAATTTGAATTATTGGTTTGCGATATTTCTAGCCCATCTCGCTCTGCAATATTTAATTAAGACAATTTCAGCATGAATACTCCCAAGACAACAAGATAAGCAAAATCCATAGCATTAATCTAGACACCTAGAAATGCCCAAATGAAAAGACCAAGGTGTCCACCTGGCATTTAAACGCTAGTGAACCAAGTATCTCTGGAGGGTTACCATGTGAAATAGCCATGTTCTATAGCATTTACTTTGTTTATTCCAGACGTTAGAGCTATTGCACTGAATAGGATGCAGTCACATCTCCCTTTATTTGAGGGTGACCTTCTCTGAGTTAAACAGATCTTATTTCTAAGACAATACATATGTTTAGAGCAGCACAGTGAAAGAATTGTGGTTCCTTGTCTTTACTCACGAAGCTTGGGTCTCTGGGGACCACTTATCTAAAGCATTTCCACAAATAATATTATGAATATATCTGCATTTTATATCTGCAATGCGAATACGATGCTAATTGTATCTAGAATGCACGCTCGGTTTATGGAGTGATGGCTAGATTTTTAAAAAATCTTACTTTAACAAGTCTGGAACTTAACGGAAATCTTTTACAACGAGTGAGAGGATGAATGGATGGATGAAATTTCACATCCTTAAGCAGCACAAGTAAAGCGTGGCATCTGAAAGCATTCTCCTTTCAGGGAAGTATGTGATGAGAAAGGTTTACAGGTTTACATCATATCCCACCACCTCCTCAGCCTGTTTAAGCAACATATATTTTAGAGGGGAAGGCTGAAGAGGCAGGCTGAAATCGGCTGGGATCGAAAGCACTGGTTTAGACTGGAACACACTTTTAGCTAGACATGATCCTTCAAAGAGGTTATCTCTTGGCTGCTTTTCATGTTGTTGTTTAGTTGTTTAGTCGTGTCCGACTCTTCATGACCCCATGGACCAGAGCACGCCAGGCCCTCCTATCTTCCACCGCCTCCCGGAGTTGTGTCAAATTCATGTTGGTTGCTCCGCAGACACTGTCCAACCATCTCATCCTCTGTCGGCCCCTTCTCCTCTTGCCTTCACACTTTCCCAACATCAGAGTCTTTTCCAAGGAGTCTTCTCTTCTCATGAGATGGCCAAAGTATGAGAGCCTAAGCTTCTGGATCTGTCCTTCCAGGGAGCATTCAGGGTTGATTTCCTTCAGAATGGATAGGTTTGTTCTCCTTGCAGTCCAGGGGACTCTCAAGAGCCTCCTCCAGCACCTCTGCTTTTCATAGGTTCTGTTAAATGTTACCTCATCCTTTTTTGTGTGTCTGCTGAGATAGTAGCACTGAATGAAAGAGACAGTGATTGACAGGAGATAAGAAGGGTGGGGTTTTTTTTATATTCCCCCAGCACAGAGCAGAGAAGAAACCGTCCATCCTTTGAGAGTTGGCTGGACCACAAAATTCATGTAGAGAATCTTTCTGGTTCTGTCCTTGGCAACTGAAACCAAGAGGCCCCTTTTCCACCCTGAAGGGCCATGATCTCTCCAAGAAGAAGGCTTAAGAGAGTTTTCTGGTTTCTTAAATTATCATTTTAAGGGAATATATCTGTGATTTAAAGCAGAGGTGGTTAAACCTCAGACCCCCCCCCCAGGGTTGAATTCTGCCCTTCAGGGGTTCCAAACTGGCTTTACAAGAAGGATGTTCTCCTTCCCCAATGGCATCTTCCTTTGGTGAGATTCCAACCTTTGTGCAAGCTTTTTCTCCCTCTAAAACATTCTAATGACTAGTGGCAGCAAGGGTTTTAAAGTAAAATATGCTGCATTTTGGCTCCCACCCACCACTGGAATGTGGTCTCGCCCTCCACACATAGGAATATCTCCAAAACTGAATTTAGACCCCAGCTGAAACCAAGAGGCCCCTTTTCCACCCTGGAAGGCCACAATCGCTACTTCAGAGTAGACCAAGAAGAAGGCTTAAGAGATTTTCCTTTTAAGGGAATATATCTGTGATTTAAAGCAGAGGTGGTTAAACCTCAGACCCCCCCCCCAGGGTTGAATTCTGCCCTTCAGGGGTTCCAAACTGGCTTTACAAGAAGGATGTTCTCCTTCCCCAATGGCATCTTCCTTTGGTGAGATTCCAACCTTTGCGCAAGCTTTTTCTCCCTCTAAAACATTCTAATGACTAGTGGCAGCAACGGTTTTAAAGTAAAATATGCTGTGTTTTTGGCTTCCACCCAACACTGGAATGTGGTCTCGCCCTCCACACATAGGAATATCTCCAAAACTGAATTTAGACCCCAGGCCAAAATCTGGTTCTCTTTAAGGTAAAGGTAAAGGTTCCCCTTGACAATTTTTGTCCAGTCGTGTTCGACTCTAGGGGGCGGTGCTCATCCCCGTTTCCAAGCCATAGAGCCAGTGTTTTGTTCGAAGACAATGTTCCGTGGTCACGTGGCCAGTGCGACTTAGACACAGAATGCTGTTACCTTCCCACCAAGGTGGTCTCTATTGATCTTCCTGCATTTGCATGCTTTCGAAACGCTAGGTTGGCAGGAGCTGGGACAAGCGACGGGAGCTCACTCCGTCGCGTGGATGCGATTTAGCCTGCAGAGCCACCACGTCCCCTGGTTCTCTTTATGTGCTCCCTAATCATGGAATTTCCTTCCCCAAGGGAAGTCAGGGCGGGCCCGTTTCTCTCTAGAGCTTGGTATAAGCAACCAAGACCATATTTTTCCAGAGGGCCTTTGGTCTCTAGAAATGGCTTCCAGGTAATGTTTTGGATCCATTTTTAAAGTTGATAATCCATTTAAAAATATTTTTAAAATATTTTCACATTTTTTTTCTTGATGATTTTAATCCTTAAAATGATTTTATAAATAAAACCATATTTTTTTTAAAAAATGATGTGATCTGTCTTGGGTCAACAGTAACCCCTGTCTCGACGAATCTGGAAATCAAGAAGCTGAAGCGCAGGGAAATGTTGCAAAGTTACAAAACCAAAGTTTGTAAAAGTTCCTTTTATTTTTTTTTACTCCACCTCCAGAATGCCCCAGCCAGATGCTGGGAGATTCTGGGAGTTGTAGTCCAAAAAGGGGGATTTTCCAAACGTTATCAAAACGCAAAAAGCAAAGCATAGCTTGGGGGCTGTGAGTTCTAACAAGACCCCAATCCTTAAGATGCTGTTAAGGAGCAGATGCCAGATAGAGAGAGAGAGAGAGGGAGAGGGAGAGAGGGAGGGAGGGAGGGAGGGGGAGGGCAGGAGAGAATGTCTTTATTCATTGAATCATTATTTCACGAAATCTGGGTGGTGGGACTATCTGACTCTTATCAAACCCTCTCTTTTTTTTTCAGATTTGAATAACTCTGTACAAACTCACCTGGACTGATTGGAAGTCTTGAGGTGGCGAAGGAGACACCCACACCTCTTGGCAGGTCGGGTTGTTTTATTTCTTGATCCGTTGCATCCATGTGACAGAGAAGAACCGACGATGAACAACTCCTTGAGTTTTACGGCACTTGGGGGTCTGCTAGGGTGGTGGAAACCAGAGAATCGGTCTTCAGTTGGCCAACTCAACGGGAGCCAAGAACTGGGTTGGGCAGAGCTGGAGAAATTGCTCTTCCTGTTTGATAAAGACCCCGTCACCATCAGCCTCACGGTCATGTACTTGGTGTCTTTCTTGGTGGGCTTCATTGGCAACGTCATGTCGCTCCGGATGCTCACCAGGAAGCGCAGCAGCCGGATGCCAAAGCTGAGTGCCACCCGGAGCCTTTTGATCAACTTGGCCATTTGCGACCTGATGGTGGTTTGCGTCTGCATGCCCATCACAGCGGGCAACTTGATTTACAAAGCTTGGGTCTACGGGGACTTCTTATGCCGAGCGGTACCTTTTATCCAAGCCGTGTCAGTCTCAGCCAGTGTCCTTAGCCTGACGGTGATCAGCTTGAACCGGTACTACAGTGTGCACAACCCCCTCAATGCCAGATCCTTTTTCACTCGTAGGAAGATCTGGAGTACCATTCTGGTGGTCTGGGTTTTATCGTCAGGGATTTGCACGCCCCTTATATTTATGAACAAAATGGATGAGATTGGAGCGGTACCAGGCCTTCTGCTGGTGTTCCCCATCTGTAGGGAAATTTGGCCCCAGGAGAGGGTCAGACAAGCCTACAGCTTCCTCCTCTTCTGCATTCTCTACTGCCTGCCTGTCTTGTTCAACCTGGTCATTTGCTGCTTGACTGTCCACAGACTATGGAGTCCCACCAGACCGCTAAGGGACAGTGGTGCTGTGAATCACATCTTGCCAGCGTCCAGGCTGAAGATCCGCAAGAAGGTGGCCCGGATGGTGGTGGCGTTGGTCCTGCTCTTTGCCGTCTCTTGGCTGCCCATTTACATGGTGGACATCTGGATTGAGTTCAACAGTCCCAAGTCCTTAGGGGATGCCTCGCCATCTTGGATCCTGCTGCTCCGGCCTTTCGCGCAGTGGCTCAGCCTTACCAACTCCAGCCTCAACCCGATCTGCTATTGCTTCGTGGGCAACCTTTACAGGTCGGCCAAGGAAATAAAGAGCAGATACCACCAGAAAATGGCCTCTCTGCTCAGCTTCTCCTTCTCCGACAAGAGTTTGCCCTCATCGGTTCCTGAGCTGCTGTCATACAAGGGCTCCACAGGGTCCTCAACCAAAAACCCTGAGCGTGTCGTGCCAGTTGGGAGGAGGGGCCAGACGCCTCATAGTCCAAGAACTCGAGTGTAAGGCAGCCTGGTAGCCTCACAGAGCTCTCTTTTGCTTCCCTGCCTGCTTCCTCTCCAAGCCTGGTCGTGTAGTGGTACATTTTTGAATGCATCATTGTGGACCCACCTACAAAAAGAATCCAAAGTCACAGCCGGATGGATGGATGGATGGATGGATGGATGGATGGATGGATGGATGGATGGATGGATGGATGGATGGATGGATGGATGGATGGATGGATGGATGGATGGATAGA